GAAAGAGACAAAAGGAATAAAGAGGAAGATGGAAGAGGAAAGAAAGGATTAGGAAGGAAATTGAAGGATATGAGGCAAAGTGGAGAAAGATGAAGGAAAGGCAAGGGGTGAATAGAAAAACTGGAAGTTAAGGAGCAAGATTAAAATGAGACGTGGAGATATTGCGGGCGGGCATGAGTCAGAGGGGTGTAAAGAGAGGGGGGTAGGGAGGAGATGGGATACCTTGAGAGTGGGGAGGGAGGCAGAGCTCGAGCGGAGAGGCGTTCCCTGCCAGGCATCCCCCCTGCTTCTGCAGGATGAACCCCATGCGTGCAGCCGGTGCCCCTATGCCATTTCCCACCCTGTCAGCGTTCCCACCATGCATCAACCTTGAGCTGTATGGCGTGGGGACGGTACGTGTGTCAATCCCCACTCCTTCCAGAAGAGTTTCATGCAGAAAGTTTTGAAGAAGAAAATCACTAGTGAGGGAAGAAGAATAACTGTATAAATTCAATTATCTTGACAACTCAGTACTCAAATTCCATCACAGATCAAGAGTTTCTCTCTGATTTAGCATAGTTCCAAGTTCCTAACCTGCCCCTGCACTCTCCCACCCACGCCAGAGGCCGCAAAATACTTTAGCGGTGCCAGAAATGATCTGCTATTTCCCTCGGGAGAGGTGCGTTCCCCCCTGCCCCATCGCGGTAAGGGGAAAGGACAACTCACAACCAGCACAGGCTTTTTTTTTTTTCACTTCCTAGACTTCGTCTGACTGTCCCTGGACCTTAAAGAAACTAAGGCTTTTACAAACAAGATGTGCTTAAAGCAGCCAAGAAAGAGGGGAGAACTGGATGAAGGGCAGTCAGGTCACGGGGGCTACCCTTGCTCGTGGCACCAAGCTGCCGCAAAGCAAGGATAAGGAGCCTGGAAAGCTCCTGGAGATTAATAAGGAGGCAACCGTTTTGTACTAGCTTTAACGTTTCCCTGCTCTTGGTTTATGAACACCCAGCAAATACACGGTTCCCGGGTTGCTGGTGCGATAAGGATCCAAGCACTGAAGATCAGCTGCCTGCCTGAGAGTCCAAATAAGCACCGTGTGCCTAATCCACCATCACAAGATCTTGAGACACAGACGTGGGAAAATGTGAACTTCCTGACATAAATCTGCTGCCAGTTTCTGGCTGATCGCTTTTTGTGACATGCCCTTTTGACTCTCTGTCAACCGGTTACCACCTCCACATGTGGCAGTAGGAGATCAGGTACAGCCCAAACCTAGAGACGTTACGTGTATAGGGTTTCCAGGCAGTGGGGAGCAGGGCTAGCTGGAGAAAGATAAGAGCAAGAACAGCTGGGCTGGCAATCCCTGAAATGCTGCAGATGCCCAGAGACTCTAGCAGAGTTGCTTAGAGATCCCATTTCATTAGAGAAAGGAGGCAACATTTGGATTCATCGATTTTACCTACACAGAAAATGTTTTTTTTGTGTTAATCAATGGAGTTTCATTTCACCCCGGTCACCTGCAGTCCATCATGGTATGGGCATGCTACCCTTGTGCAAAGAGAAGTGTGAACATAAGCTGATGCTAAAGCCATCACTAGGAACGAAAAGGCGAGAACGAGCGGCCTTAATGCAAAATTGCACTGGAATTGTGTTGGAGTTGTTTTGGATATGATTTACATGACTACAATAGGCATAACTCATCTGCAGGGATTTAAGCATCCTGGATATGTCTCTGTTATTGCAGCCAAGACCAGGAGGCCTCAAGAAAAACCGTAGGCAGAAGGGGTCTGCTAAGCAAGCCAAAGCCCTGGGGCCTGCTAGGGCTGAGCTTGTTTTTGTTAGAAGGTGCTCTGTGAAAAATTTAACTGTTGCCCTTCTCTGACCCATCCTTGGGAACAGCCTGCTGTTCTTATTGGCAGTGATTGACTGTTCGGCATTTTTTTCCTAGCTAAATTGGAACATAATCGCAGCAGATCTGCAGCCACTGAGGGCTGCAGGAGGTTGCTCACTGGCTGTAGGAACTGCACAGTTGCAGCTAGGGTAGCATTTGTTTTGCTCCAAAAGGACCTGTGCTCGCTACTTTGATGATTATTATTTTTCTAGTGACATGTGGACAATGCTATATAGGTGGAAAGCTCATACCACCTAGGAGAGGGCAGCAATGTGCACCTGGTTAAGGTGACTCCCATTGTAATGCCAGCAACATGGCTGTAGCCACAAGATGACAAAACTCAAATGATTTGTAACCAAAGGTTCTATTTTTAAATGAATGTTGTATGGCTAAGTCTAAGAAAAGATGTCACCTCTGCCCACTGATTTCATCCCGGCCCTAGCTCTGTGCTGTTCCCCTGTGCTCAATTTCTCTGAGGGTCACGGTGTTCTTCAGGACTTCTCATTTGGTCGCTTGCAGTTCAGAAAAGACCACTTTTTGAAATTAGACATATTTTTGGGCTATCTGCTTATTTGGTATCTGACAGAGTTGCAGGTTGTTCTGCTACTGCTCAAAAATGATTTTTTTGCCTTCAGAGGTCTGACCTCAACCCAGTGCTCTAGGGGATGTGTTTTTTTAGGAGAGGAAAGGATGTTCTGTGGGACTTCACCAAGGTTGGAGACCTTTTTGTTTCTGTGCATATACCTACCTCCTATAACAAACTGCAGCATAGGGACTCCTTCAGTCATGAAGTTGCCTCTACATGTCAGGTCTCTGTGCTGTGAAGAGATGTTAGTCCACGTCCTGGGAACAATACAGCCACATCTATATGGTGCTTTGCCTGTAACTGTTGTTCCAAAGTTTCAGCAGGTTTGGCTAATTCCGGAGTGACAACATGCTGATGAGGCAATCTTGCTTTATGCTTTTGGAGCAAGGTTGATCAGTACTTACTCAAGGCCCTTTGCACTGTGTTCATCTGTACCACACAGTTATGTCCTTTGCATGATGCCCCATGTCCGTGCATTTATATCAGTTTTTCCTCCTTTATACACAATTCCCAATTTCATCTGACTGGATCCCAAGCCTCTGTCTATCACTACTGCTTTCTGTAGTATCGCTGCTTGGTTTGGGGTGGGGTTTTTTTGGGTTGCATTTTTTTGGAGGTGTGAATATTTTGATTATCTGCATGAAATCCCTCCTCTCTCCTTCTGCACTCAGTGTATGTGGAACTGACAGCTCCAGGGAGGTAAATGAATGCCACTGCATTTCAGAGGAAGAATTATTTCATGCAATTACCCTAAAAGTGCATGAGAGAACAGAGTGAAAGGAATGAGGGAGAGAAAGAAAGAGAGCATGAGAGAGAATAATCACAACACTTCAACAGGTTTACCCCATTGTGTTTGAAAATCTATCACTCTGACAAGTCCCTTTTGTGAAAGGTGTAGACAGATAACTAGACATTTGCTCTTCAAGGTCCTTTTGAGTGAAGAGGGTGATCGATGGAAGGATCAGTCCGTTTCACTCAAGTTTCACTCAAGTCCTCTCCCTGATATTTCTTACGGACTGGCTGTACCCCATTTCCCTCTCAACATCTCACTTAGGCTCCCTGATTCACTCCTTGGTGGTTCCTGGGCAGAGGGATTTGGGTGGACTTTAAGCTACCGGACTATTGACTTGTGGGTCTTTCTATAGAAAGAGTGATGTTTCTGGTTTAAGAAGGGGTGCAGGAACAAAAGTCTGCGTCCCCTGTTGCATCCCCATCTCTTGAACATGTTGGAAGGAAAAAGGAGCTTTTTGTAGCCTCATTATTCACATCTGAGAAGACATTCAGGAGAAGCAGTTCCTGTCCTGATTCTGCTGCTGTTTCACCTGCCAACTTTGTCACCCTCTTGATCCCCTCTGCACATCAGGGTTGCCCCGGGGAAGCTGGTGACAACAGCCCATGTCTTCCCAGAAGCCTCATGCACCTATGTTCACTAAAACATGCAAAATGCTTTGAGATCCTCAGGTGGAAATTGCTGGCCAGGGTAAATGGTTAGTATAATGCAGTTTCTCGCCATGCTTTCCAAGAGGCAGGCGAGTTACTGGACATTTGCCATACTGGGCAAGGAGGGGAGCACTGGGATAAGGGATGCTGGGCCAGGTCACTTTTTTTCACCTGCACCTGCTGCTCTTGCAGCAAAGCCAATGCATTAGTCATAGCTATTTGCACTTTGAGGTTATTTAGGGAGTATGCTGTTGGGTTAGGAAAGCTAAGGTCTAGCATATGTCCTAAAATTAGGCTTTTCCCCTTTTGGTTGGTGTCAGAAAGGAGTGATTCACAGCTACGGGAGAAGCCTTCCCACCTGTCCGAAGCAGTTACCGCTTTAAGTAGAGAGTTTGCTTCTATGTGAGGTAAAACAGGTTAGCTGAAGCCACCTCCAGGTACATCATCCTGCACTGGGAGATGAGGGGAATATGGGGAGCACCCCACTGCGCTGCAGGTAACGCTCAGCAGCCCCCTCCCTTCTGGCCTCGTGGGAAATGTCCACCCTGCATGTGTGCCCTCGCCAGGAGCACATGCTCCTCATTGGGGCATCTTCTTGCAGCTCCTTTCCCTCCTGACAGTCGCAGCAGGTAAGTGTTATCGCAGCTCCTGGCCTGCGTCCTCACAGCACGCTCTCACTGCTTGCTGCCTTGCTGCCGTCCCACGGACAAGCTGTGTTTTCTGGACAGGGAGCCGTGAGCTCCAGTCCTGCTCCCGGAGGCTTCAGCTTTGCTCCCAAAGACTCAAACTTCATCCCCATGATTTCCAGGAACCCTTCAATGAAGAAATGACGACTCTGTGACTCAAGCCAAGATTTTGGATTCTTTTAAACTTTCTTTTTCTCTCTGTCTTTCTCCCCCCTTCTACAGGATGGTGGAGTACTCCCTGGATCTCCAAAACATTAACTTGTCTGCAATCCGTACTGTCCGTGTCCTAAGACCCCTGAAAGCTATCAACCGTGTGCCTAGTAAGTCATGCTTCCCTCTCACACTTGCTCAGCTTGGGTTGTGGGGAATGTGTGATCAGTAAGGATGTGTGTGGTGGTGTTTTCCAGGCTGGGTTCAGGTGCAAACTGTGTGGAGGCTGCTGCACGGTGTGTGCAGGCTTTCCCCATCATGGGGTCAAGAGGTGTTGTTGGATGGGCAGGAAAATTTCAGTCTCCCAACATATCTGCCCTGGTCATCCTTCACGCAGGGCCATGCTGATGGCTCAGGAGCTGAAGCTGAACAATGTGCAGTAAAGGAAGGGTTTTTTTCTCACTCTTACTGAAGGACATCACAGGTTTGATAACATCTGCAGCCTCAAAATGGATGTGTGTGAGGTCTGGAGAGGGGTGAGCTGGTGGAAGCAGGGAGAATTGGTTTGCTCAGGCTTTCACGCGCTCTTCCAGATCCTCTCATCTGAAAAAGTTTCATGCCATTATGGCTTAGGGGTATGTAGCACCGGCTATTTTGTCTCTCCTCCTCACCCTGTGCTTTGTGCTCCCTCTTCTGTGCTGACTGTCCCCACTGCGACCGGGCATGTGTGTATGAGCTGGGCTGAGCGCCACTGGGCATAGGGCTGCCGGGGCTGTGCGCCAGCCTGGATGTGTCAGCAGCCGAACTGCTGCTCGCCAGCACCATTCAGGTCTGAGACACGTTCCCCAGCTCAGGTCTGCATGCAAAGCAGAGGGGTGCTGCAGCCCTGAGATGCAAGACGCAGCGCTGGGGCACGTGCCCCGCACACGCGCTGCTCTCGCGTGCTCTGTACTGGTGGCCCCTCCACAGCCCTCGCCTCCTCCCTTCCCAGAGGATGGAGACAAGACCAGCCTCTTTGCCACGCTTTGCAGCTTTTATTGGTGCTGAACTGTTTCTTCCCTCTTCTTCCCTTCCTCTGCCTCACTTTTTTTTTTACTCAAGTCACTGTTGTTCTCCCTGCAACCCTGGCGCAAGTAAGCAGGCGTTGCCATCGCTATTTAACTTTAGGAAACATCGATGGAGGTGGCTCAGGCTTCTCAGTGGTTGTATTTGGGCAGATGGAAGTGAACCAGCGGGCTGGTTGCATGCTGTTTGGGGTCAGGTCACTGAACTCGGCTTGTTGTGTCACTCCAATGTTTCTGGCTGTCCCCTGTGCAAAGGCAGCAGCTGCCACATGCAGCCCTGTGAGATTTTAGGTGTTTCTTCCACAAGTTTTTCTGTCTTGCAGAATGGCAGGAAGTGTCTTTGCTCTTCCCCATAATCTCCCTAATCAGGCTGTCTGCAGTGGCTAAGACCTTGCCAGAGCTCTCCTAATCCTTCTCTCGAGCTCAGGTGCTCCTTTTTCTTTTCCAGACCTGAGGAAGTTTACACAGTTGACCTCCCACTCTGCGTCATATGTTTTTCCTTGTGCCAAAGTCACTTTCACGATGCCACCTATTTCTTGACCATGCTATGGAGGCAGATTTCAGGGTCTCTGGCTCCATGCAAAGCCATTCTAGAAGGTCTTGTCCCTCTTCCTGGGTGTATTTTTATCTCTGGGCAATAGCCAGGGACAGAGGGTGCTGAAAGGCATAATGGAGGAACTGAGGCACGGTCCTGTACGCCCAATGTGGCAGGAGGGCGCCAGGCAGAGGAGCAGCTGGTTTGGGCACTGAGTGCACACCCAAGCATATAACAGGTCCATCATGGGGTGATACAGATGGGAGCCAAGAGCAACCTTTTGGCTATCGACTGTTAGCAGAACAACTTCCCCAGCCTGCCTCCATTTCTCTGCCCCTTTTCCAGAGAGGAGAGGGCTGGGAGCCAGCCACAGTCCTGGCTGTGGGCAGGGGTGAGGGGGTGGGGGGGCATCTCTTCTGTGAGGAGGTGGCCTTGAGGTCATGCATGGCAAGCTCACCCCTTCCATGAAGCGTACAGCCAGCTGTGTGAGGGCAGTACCGTCCTCATGTTATGCAGCCCCCTTTCCTCCCTGCTTCGTAAGAAGTCCTGTGAGTCTGTGCTCAAAGACCACTTTGAGGCTGACCCCTGTTATCAGGGTAGACTTAACCTTGGTGGTGAATGGGAACATCTTGAACAATATCCAGTTGACTCCTGCAGACGTCTGCCATATTAATTGCTGGACACCAGCGGTCAGGAGCAAAGCTTGACTGACAAAAAGTCGAGGCCTTGTTTTATTCCTATTTTACCTCTCGGAACAGCCAGAGTCACTCCGCCGTCCGCAGGAGCTGCCCCGGGGAGGAGCGGTGTGAGTGGCATCAGAACTGGCCCATCAGGGACCCGCTCCATCCATGCGGAGGCACCAGGGACGCTTTCGATCATCTCGCCTGACCTTTGCAGAGCACAGGCCGTTGAACTTCCCCTGACTGTCCTGGCCGTGATGCTGCCTGTCTGCTCCTTTTATCAGTATAAAACTTCACCTGTATGAAACTGATGCTGTTTTAATTCCCACTCTGTGGTTAAACTTTTATGTATCTTTCTTGCTACATAAATCTGTGGTTGTATGCAGAGAACATTTTGGAAGAGAGACATCCTGCCATTAATTAAAAGAAAAGAAAAAAAAAAAAAGAATCACATTCCCTGGGAGAGGATGCACTGACTTGAGGGTTGAAAACTGGCAAAGAGTCTGTAAGCAAAGGCTTGTGATAAATGGGAATGAGCTGCGTTGAAAGAAGGTGCTTAGTGGGGTACAGCAAACGTAATTAATGGGACCTTTGGCCACAAATCTTTTTTTAATGTCTTTTTAAAGTTCTTTATTTCTGATCTGAAGCAAGAGGAAAGCATTAGTGAGATGTACTGATGATATGAAGCTGGAGGAGTTGCAGGTGCTAGCAAAGAAAGAGGGGAATAACACAGTGGGAGGCAGAGGGAGATTGAGGTCTTGGTGGGAGCGTGAGATATTTGGGGAGGGGCAGGGGGGTTAATCCCAAAGGCAGATATTTGGCCATGTTCAGAAGGCTGCGATGGGACAATGTGGCCCAGCGTTCACTGGTGGCCATTTAAAAGGCTTCCACGCAGGTACCCAGGTAGGGACCGATTTTCACAGAGGAGTCTGGCCGTGTGGACTGAATAATGGCAATTTATTATCAGGAGAATGGACAAAGTGATTAGGAACATGAGTAATTACTGCATGAGTGGAAGAGTGCTGAAGTGGTCTGTCTGGGTAGATTATTTAGCACCCAAAGAACACTAACACTCTAATAATCAGCCAGCGTTTGAAAAATCCGCATACAGAAGTGAGAAAGTTCTGGACAAATTTGAGAGAAATTTCGTATTACATGAAGCAAAAAAAGAAATGATGCCAGAAAATTAGGAGGGAGGAAATTCAGAATGTCTCTTAAGGAAACAGTAGCAACATGGTAGAGGAAAAAGTATCACCTGTTAAATAAGTTAAATAAAATTATTTTATATTCTTGTCAGGTGGGCAAGGCTGAAGTTTAAATGCCCAAATTGGATATGTCTAAATTCTGCTTTCCTGTGTTCATTCTTAACATGTTACTGAAAGCCCTTCCTTACAGTGAGACTTGTGAGGCTTTGAAACAATATCCCACAAGGAACTGACAAATGCTATTTGTGTGTGCCGTACTCATTATGTATAGTGTAAAGGATACATAGACTCTCCTACCTGAATCGTGACAGAAGCAGAAAAGGACATCCAGTGTAACCAGAAGGTGGCAAATGTCCCTTAAGGAAGAAGTCCTCCACCCAGTTCGTAATTAGGCTGTAAAACTCGCCGCTACGGGAAGTCCTTCCAGCCCCAAATCAATTAAGAGGCACTGTGTAAGTAAAGTAAGTAAAATGGGGTTGTCCAAGGGATGAGAGCTCACCTGGAGACACTTCTAGATTTCAAACCTCTTTGCTTCAGGGAGCAAGTAGCTTCTTTAGCTACTTGGTTATCAGCAATTGATTGCATTTCTTGCAATTCTCAGCAGGATGTGCTACTGACCGTTTTGGATTTCACTTCTGGATGAAGAAGTCTGTGGCTCTGCCCTGCCTGATCATTCCTCCATTTGCATGTCGTCTTTGAAGTGTACTAGAGAAAACATGAAGCACCCTAGTTTTGTGATACGTATCACACCTTCATTAGTATTCCTGCTTACCTCTTGCATTACTGACTATGCTGCCTTTTGGGGTTTTGTTTGAAAATGCATGAAACAAAAAATTAGAGATTGTTTTGGTCCTATTACCACGTGATTCAATTCCATGGCAGTCAGCTGGTGTGACAAGCCCTGCGAGTCACCAAACAAGCGTAAAGAGCAAAAAAATACCCTCCAGGCCTCGGTCAGAGGTAGTTGCATTCCGCTCTGGGCATGTCTGTGTCCTGGGCTTGGGGTGAAATTCCACATCCATTTGTTGTTATTATCCTTTTGTGATTGTGTGGCAGGTTGCTAGGTGAAACGCTGTTTCTGCTAGCTCTTTCATCCCTTCTTCTCATGGCAAGGCACAAGGTTTGGGGGGAGCCTGGTTTTGTTTTATTTCTGCCTGTTTTTGAGCAGGGTGTCTGTAGTAATTTCTGATCATTTGAATTTCTTTTGCTTCTGTTATTACGGTTTTTTTACATTGGAGCAGAAAACGTTTCTTCAGTTTACTCTTTCTTGTTGCATTGGTCTTATGCAAAGTAGAGTCCTTGCATTGTGTTTGATGTCTTCCAGTTTCCACTTACAATTTAGTAACTGGTTCATCATTTGGAAGCAGATTACTTCAGCTGAGCACACTGTACGGAAGTGAAGGAGTCTGTTGCAGTGTGTTGCATAGCAACTTTATTGAATAGAAAGTGTATGCATGTGCTAATACTTGGTGTGTAAGTGTAGTAATACTTATGTGGAGGTACAGACATTAAAAAATATAATGTTATATTCTTATTAGTAGCTGTGCAGGAAATAGAATTTCAGATTTGAGGGAAGTTCTGCTCTTTCTAAATGTGTTTTTTCTCAGTTAGAACAAGAATAAGCGTTTCCCATCCATTTTAATACAGTTTTATCTGCCTAATTTTGGGTGGTTTGTTTGGCTTTTT